ACACATATGAAAAAGTGACTCGCGGGAAGTTTCGAAAGCTCGATTGGGTGGGTATTATGCAACCATCTTATAGTCCGAATTTTGCACCAAGTGATTACCGTCTGTTTTTGTCTATGGAAAATGATTTGGCTGTCGAAGAATTTGAAGCTTATGAAAAGAGATTCCTCCCTTTTTTTTGCCAAAAATGCCATTGCCTTCAAAAAAAAAAAAAAAAAAAAAAAGTTATCGCTCATAACGGTGCATATTTGATATACATAAATCGGAAAATTCTAACTCTGGTAAATATTGTCATCCATTTAATGCAAAAACAATCGCTCATAACGGTGCATATTTGATATACATAAATCGGAAAATTCTAACTCTGGTAAATATTGTCATCCATTTAATGCAAAAACAATCGATTTTTTGCTTGATCTATTACTGGGATTATCTTGGGGTTATCGTGCTATATCCATTATACATCTCTAGCTATGATCCGGCTTGCTATTTCCGACCAGAAGATAAGAGTTTGTTAAATTATTCTTGTTATGAATTTTTAAAATCGATACAAGTTACAGCGTTCTTATGCACATACATATGTACATATGTACACACATATAAAGACATGAATGAAATTCACAAGAAACGTGACCTCTCTAAAAATTCCCGCAGACTCACTCAAATTCTTTACAAATAAATGAAACATGCGCGAAAAGAAAATGTTTAAAACGGCAGAAATGCTGTTGAAATACGTTCACACATACATACATACTAACATATGCATACTTCTCACCATTTCTAAGTAATTGTGTATACACCTAAGCGCATGTCGAGTCATTTTTGCAAAAAAAAAAAAGAAAAAAAATTGAAATAAAAAAATATATTTACAAAGCATAAAAAATGTAGGAAGGAAACACAACAAAAATCAACAACGCGCAGCTGTTAGCAGCAACAAAAGCCTTCAGTAAATACACAACAAATGTTTGCCTGTGAACTTTTAGTGGCAAAGCACTTTTGAAATGATTTCAAGAGCACACTTGTAACTTTTTGATGTTAATGTTTTATATTTATGCCCTTCTTGTTACAAGCATGTCTATACTATGATGATGTATGATTGATGCATATGTTTTGTATTTACTGAATGAATGCGGTTCAATGGATAGAAAAGTGAGGGGAAGAAGCACAAAAATATGCATGTTTCCGGTAAATTCGCATGAAATATGTGTCGCTTTTGAAAAAACAATATCGACTGCACACTAAACAATTCTTTATTTAAACGAAAATAGTTATAATTTGAAATTTTTCTTTCACTTCACCTTTTTATACAAATATTTAATATTAAGTTAGTAATTAAATATATTAATGCATTAAAAAAAAAAATCACTTAAACTTTTAGTAAATATGTAATATAATTAATATTTTTTATTTTTTATGTAATTTTTTTTTAGCTTTTTTTCATTATTTAGTTTCAATATTTATTAATGCAAATTTAATTAAATCACATAAGCTTGTAGTTAGCGGTAAATATGCGTTTTTCAATATTTTTTAAACAACATATCATTCCAAATTTCAAAAAAAAAAGTTTTAAAACAAATATTATTGATCTTATCCGCTGAGAAAAATTTTGCCATTTAATTTTTCTCTGTTATTTCTAATATTTATTTATAATAAAAAACCTAAAATTAATCACTTTTTTATTATAATTATTAAATATCATTTCTTTGATTGTTAAATATTTTTTTAATTACTATTTTACGTACCTGCAGCAGCTAAAAATATTTTTTTTGGTTTAAATACCAAAAAAATTCAGTAAAAATTCCATCTCGAGTCCAACATTTCATAATACCAATATAAACAAGGCACTAAACGGCTAGCACAAGTATCCTCATTATGGGAAGAATATTTTAATATAAGTTGTTTTTTTTAGACATTTTGTAAACGCTGCCCTTTAAAATCTTCACTGGGTTATTAAATATTTACTCATGCACTCGTAAGCGTTGAGTAGTGAAAGGCGTGAGAATGTGTACAAAGAAAAATGTCGATTTGTATGAAGTAGGTGCAAGACATCAGATGCCTACTTACACACACACACACATACACGTACATATGCATATGTATATCGCATTAGAGGCTTATAGCACGTGCCTCCGTCACACCTTCACACGCTAGATCAGCTGTTGTTGGCGGCGTATGAATGATGTAATGCCAGGGCATGGCTCAGCACAGCTAAGCTGTTTGCTTGATTATTTGTTGCTATCGCGGCTCTTAGCACAAAGTGTGCATGCAGCTCAATGCACACGAGTGCATCGCTACGTATTTATATTGTGTATGTGTGTATACGTGACTGGATTGTGTCGACGTTCATTATTTGTGTTATAGTGAATTAAGGTGAATTAGGGTCTGCGTAATTTAATTTACTTTACTTTATGTAATTTAATTTTATTTTGTTTTAAGTTGTTATACATTATTTTATTTTTATATTTTTATTTTTGTTATATTCTATTTTATTAATTTAATTTATACTTTCATTTTATTCTATTTGAATTTATTTCATATTTTTTGTTATCTCATTTTATTCATTTTTTTATTATATTTAAATTTGTTTAATTTGTTTTAATTTAACGTAATTTGCTTTTGTTTTATTTTATATTAACGTATTTTGTTTTGTTTTATTTTATTTGACTTATCTAAATTTGTTTTAAATAAATTGATTTATAATTTTATTTATTTACTGAATTTTATTTTATCTTATTTATATATTTTAAAACACTTTAATTTAATATTTTAATTTATTTTATTTTTATTTTGTTTAATATAATTTTGTATTAATTAATGTATTTTTTCTCTAATATATTTAAGTTAATTAAATTTTATTCACTTTATTTTATTTCATTTATTTAATTGATTTAATTAAATTAATAGCTTTTCCTTCTATATTATAAAAACATTAGCGTTTCATATATGTACTGATATTTTAGTATGTACTAATTATTCAGCAAATGTAAGAATTTCAGAGTCATTCAAGCTTAAATATAAATTTGCAGGTGAAATTTCTATGTTACGTATACGCACTGTTGTACTAAATATATTTCGAATACTCAAAACTATATGCAGTAAAAGCTTTAACGCTTTCTATACATTTCTAAACCCTAAGCTGAGAATTTTAGGATAGTACAGTGCACCCTAAAGTATGCTTTTGCATTTGAGGAATATAAAGCTTTATGTATATTTACTTATACGTATGAGTAAATATATAATGCACTATTCAAAGTAGCAGAAATTTATGCGACAACATTAAAAATAAATTTTCTATTTTGAAATATTTCTATGCTATTCGTAAATCAAAATAAAAAATGGAAAGAGCAGACTAAATTGGAAGTTTTTATAATTTAATTATGCAGCTGTCATGGTTGATTAATTAAATATATTATATTCGCACTATAGGACTTAACACACACACGCAAACACATAAATAGGAATTCTCGTTGCTCTGTGGACATATTTTATGTTAATAATTAAGTTTTCATTTAGTTCTCATCGAAAATGTCGCGTATACGCCGCTCACCACCTCTAACATTTCCGTTTCCAGCTACTTTTGCATAAATCATTGAAAAATCGAATTTTTATGTACTTTAACCGCAACGTACATCATATTCATCATCAATTTTACAATGTGACAAGCGAAGTTCGAAATTAAATTGCTTGTTTGACATTTTTAATGTCTGTTTGTGCATATGTCCACATGATTTAGTTTGTTTGTATTTGTTTTTTACTTGTCTGTTAGTTGGTTGATACTCAACCTCCGTCGACGCTGGCACAGTTCACTGCATTTTGTTAAATTTTGAATACGATTTGTGTGTCAGCATTGACCATGTGACAATACTGTTGGTTTTGTTAAATTTGCATTTAATGCAATTTCATTCATGCGCCAGTGAAGTTCATGCAAGCTAACGTAGGTCAAATGCTATTTGTGTATCTAGGAGTTTGCGGTAAGTGGAAGTGTGTGTGAGAATGTTTGAAAAATTTAATGTTATTAAAAATAAAATAAAGTAAACAAATAAAATAAGATAAATTAAAATAAAATAAATAAAATAAAATAAAATAAATAAAATAAAATAAAATAAAATAAAATAAAATAAAATAAATTAAAATAAAATAAAGTAAAATAATTTAAAAAGAAAAGAAAATAATATAAAATTCCTAGTTGAAATTAACTCAAGCTGGTTTATGTAAAACTAATATATTTACGTATATACTGATTTTGCTATAACGGAAAATGAATTTTTCATATGTTGAAATGCAGATTTACCTTTTTTTGCCTATCACTTTTCATGCTCCAAAAACACATTAGTGCCACTTGCCACAAGGACATAAGTGAACTATTAAGTGTGACGATTTGTCGTAACCCAAAAGAAGAAGAAAAATCTATACGCACGTACAAATGTATGTAAGTATGTACGTTGCTGAAAACACTTGGCTTTCTAATGAAATTATGTGTCAAGGATCTTCTGAAAAGCACAAAAAAGCTCATGAATTCAACTGATTATATGTATATGTGAATGTTGCGTTGAATGTGTATGTGTGAATGTGTAAGAATTGTTATATATACATACATACAAACGTACATAGTATATTCGCATATGTCTTTATGACCGTCTTACGTTGTCTGATTGTCATTATCCATTCTGGCGTTTCGAGCACAATCAAAAATTTATATATTTCTTGTGCGTATATATGCATGTGTGCGTTTTTATCTCTGAATATATTTCATATTTTCATATTTTATTATATTATTTCAATTTAATTATTCAAAGGCATGCACTTATCTACATTCATTTCTTATACAAATATCTTACAAGCATTTTTGCTGCTTTTGTCATTCATTTGCAATGTCATATACATCTGCATACGTACATATATTTATGTATATGCCATACTTTCAAGCACACTTTCAAACATACTGCTTTGTGTAATCTGTTTTTTGCCCACTCATAATCTTTTGTCTCTCTTTCTTGTTACAGATATGAAACTTATAAAGCAACATTAAAGAAAATACCCGCCACACGTCTGTCCCGCCTTACCGAGGCGCTAGCCAACTATGATCCGGTTTTGAATGAGTATTTCTTCGATCGCCATCCGGGTGTATTTACGCAGATACTCAATTACTATAGGTGAGTGGTGTTCTAAAAATACCTATATTCACATATAGATATAGATATGTGTATGTATATATAACAGTCTTTCAATTTAATTTATTACAAACATACATCTGTGCTAAATCTCATTAGTGTACCACAAATCATCTTGAAAGCATTTGTGTGTAAGACGCTTAGCTTCGTAGGGGATGTCCGGGTTTAATTACATTAAATGCTTACATACATACATGCATACATACATACATAGTGACATTAAGACGTAAACCCAATTGTTGTTGCTGTAATTTTATTGGCTTTAAGTTGAATTTTGTAAAATTCTCTCACTGCAAAATGCAAGTATAATTTATTTGTGGTTAATTTTGGGATTTTTGCTGATGCTTTACCGTAATTTATTACCATAACATTTTGTTTGTTTGCTGATTGATGAATTGCAAATTTATGGTTTTTTCTTTTAATACACGATTGTATGTGTGCAAACTTGTGTCTGGAAGCAATTAATGAATGATTGCGATTAATTCATAAGTTTTGCTGTGTACAATACATATGTAGCTATGTATGTATATAAAAATACAACATTTCATTTCAGGTTTCACTCATTAAAAGCTTGCGCGTCACTATGCCCCAAGAAATTTAATTAATAGTTTGCAAATTGTTTGTAATGCCATAAATATTTTTAATATAGTTAATGGCGAAATATCTTGCCACGTCATAATGTCATTATTATTTATAGAAATAGATAAATAAACAGTTTTCATGTTAAGTACATAAATTGAATAGTTCAAATATAGTTTAGGGGGTTTCCATTTATTTTATTTATTTTCATTTATTATATTATATTTTATTTTATTATATTTTATTATATTTTATTTTATTTCATTCAAGTTAATTTAATTTAATTATATTTTATTTATTCAAATTTATACTATTTTATTTTATTTCCCTTCATTGCATTCCGTTAAGGAGTAAATTTCATTTTCTGTTGCTCAGCCGCAGGAAAATTTATCTAATTTAATTTAATTTAATATTATTTTATTTTATTTTATTTCCTTTTTTAATTTAATAAGATTTTATTTATTTTAATTTATATCACTTAATTTTATTCTATTTAATTTAATTTATTAATTAATGTTAAATTAAATTAAGAAAAAAACTAATCTTAATTAAAATATTATGACAAAATAAAATAAATTAAATTATTATATTATATTTAAATTAAGATTAGTTTTTTTTTTTAAATTTAATTTATAAGATATATAAAAATAGAATAATTTAATTTATTTTATTTTATGTCATTATATTTTAATTAAGATTAGTTTTTTTAATTTAATTTAAATTTAATTTATAGTTTTTTATTTTATTTTATTTAATATTTGATTTTGTTTTCTTTACTTTAAATTAATCTTATTTTATTTAATATAATTTATTTCATTTTAATTATTTTATGTATTTTTATATTATTTCAACTAATTTATTTTTTTAATTTTATTTTCTCTATACATTTTTCCTGAAACTCAATATATTATTATTATTATTTAAATTTTTTTTTCTACCTTCTACAAGTTCTTAACTTCGCTATTCTGTCCGTTAGAAAGTGTTTGGGTGCTCATTTTTCTACAGAAGGAAACCACCACTAGTATACGAGAGAGTTGTCCGAATTGAGAGCGGGAAGTAATAATTTTCAAGAAAACTTACAAAATCAAGTTGTTCTTCGGCTGGGCTCTTAGCAAAGTCAGTCCGTGATCAGGTGAGCAAATAAAGAAGGTGTCATGGAAAATATTTTATGGAAGCCAAGAAATACGCAATCTCATTAGGGATTCTCCCTCATCAAAGATCGCTCGACTTCATTTTTACCACAAGGTGAAATAGTTGGGAATAAACCTCATCTGGAATGCAACATAAAAGGGAGAAAAAAACTATCAGTTATATATTGCTGTAGGAACGTAACCGATTGTAGATTCTCTCTTAGAGTGATAGACTCTATAGGGGTACTTTAGTTAAACGTGTTTTGTTTTACGGAGGTTTCATAATGCGGAGATCGCTGGTAGAAGTTACATTTGATAAACGGGTGAAGATCATCGTTGTATGTTAGGACCAAGTCCAGAACCTATCTACCCGTGGTGCGGATAACTAGCGGAGCTTTTCTAAGGTGAGTTCGGTCCAAACCAACAAACGGTTGAAGAGCCATAGAAAAAGAGGAAGAAAAAGAAGACGAAGTGAAAGAAGAAGTAGTAGAAGATGTGTTTTACCAACTACTCCCACTAATCTTATTGTTTTATGCCATGCATAATATTTGTAGTGTTTGGATATCAATCAGGCTCTTTAAGCCTCGTTTAGTTTAAGAGAATCTGAACATTTGGTCTGCTTGAGCGTAGAATAGTGCACGGTTCCGCCATAACTTCTTCACTGGAGAACTGGAAGACACAAAGCTATTGAAGAAAAGGAGTGTTAACCTTTCTTATATATATAAATGGTCTGCTAGTGAGTGCTCCGTTGAAAACTATGCACAGAATCAGAGGTTAGTCTCTAGATCATTGCAGTGTTCCATAGACTGAGGTTGCTGCTTTTAATGAGGGGTGGCACATGGAGTAGGGTTCGGTTGATCACGTTCAATGTTTATTTACAATAGATATTCAAGCGGCTATTACCGCCCAGGGTACACTTATGGCTTCCGCTTACAGTTGAGTTTCTGGGCATTGCAATATAAATAGGCTTGCGAGCCTGTGTGGTACCGCTTCGCTTATATCGGACAAAGCTCTAGTGGTTACTTCCGCACAAATATGCAGTCTCTTTCCAGACAAGAGGGCCTCGAATCAACGAGTGCGAATGCTGTACTACAACTTTCAGGGGCACGATTGAGAGAGCCTTTTGGCTCAAAGTCGGCCTCGGAATGTTCAGAAAGCTTCTGCGAGCAAATTACAAAAGTGCACTGTGGTCACGCAGAATACTCGGAATTGTTCGATCGACATTTGCAATTTTCCATGACCTCACTATCGATATATGCTCAATAGAGTAGGAGATGGACTTGCGATGCTAAGACTGAAAATTCTTGGATAGTTGCGATTAAGGACGCAGAAGAGTAAACAGATATATAGTTTAAGCTTTAAGGAAATTATAAATTTTTTGGGCATATTTCCTGTCCTCTATATCTTAGCCATCTCAGCCGAGTATTTCACTAGAAAGCGGGAATTACTAAATTTAGCAAATTTTCAACGCACACAATTTTTCAAATACCGTCAGTCAACAGCGAGACAAACTACAAGCTATAAATATTTCTTTCAAATTTACTGTTATCTTAAGCCACCGTAACGGTAAAATTGAATATCGTGAATTCATACTAAACCTCTAGAAATATGGAGCTTTTTTTTTGCAATTTTTGTCATATCATCCCAGCGGAATATAGAATGTTACACTCTTTTTGTTGTTTTTGTTATCAATATTTTGCAGCAAACACCCGCAGAGTCCTTCGAAAATGCAATGCGATTTTATAAATCTTCTATCAGCGCTAAAGCTAGCATTTTCGACGCACATAAGTTTGTATCTTTCACATACACGTATATACCCACACAACCGGAGCTTCTCAAAAATGTTTCGCCGGTTTTGTTGTTGGTGTTATCAGCAAACGCCTGCATGCATAGACTAAAAGCGTTTTATTACTCCTACACACAAACAAACGCAAATCTCTCAATTTTGCTCATATTTATGCATAAAGTGTTGTTAAACTCTCCACATATATGCTCTCTCTCCCACTGGTTTTCTACGCATCCTTCAATCGCCTGGCAACTGTCGTCGGTTATCGCACGACGGAAAGCAATTTCCTTTATGGTAAATAATAATTTCATTTCATCACGCTTTAGTGAAAACGGATTACCGCTTTTAAAAATTTTCTCTCTAAAAAACCCCACACACAAACGGGAATTTCAGCTTCTCTTTTTAATTTTGCCACTCAGACACATAAACATGCGATTATTACATGTGTGTGCGCTTGAATGTATGAGAGTGTGCTTGTAGTTAAATATTCGCATACCTTTCACTTCCACTTCCATTGTTGTTTTTGGTTTTTTTTTTGTTTTTGTTTGTTTTTGTTTTGTTTATCAAATTAGATCCCAAAGCTACAACCACCTGCTGTGCATCATCAACGTCTTTATCATGCCTGCCGCGTTTAACCCACGAATTATTAATTTTATTTATATCCACATTTGCCATTGCAACAATGTGTTTATGTGTATAAAATATATGCATATACACATGCATATACATACATACATATTTATGTACATAAGTATGTTGGTAGTTTGAAGAAAGTATACAAAAGTTTAATGCAGTAACTGGTTACACATCCACATCTTTTGGGTCTACTTGCAATATTGGGCTGAAAATAACTAAAAATTTATAGTAGGCAAAACTTCTACGAATTTAGATTTTATTGGTTATTTTTTGTTTTTTTTTGTACAAGAAAATTCTTGAAAAATGATGTTGCCATATCGAAAATAAAATAAGTAAAAAAAAACAAAAAGGACGATATTTTCTATATTTTTAAATATTAAGGAAATTTATATTAAATTGGGAATTTGAAAATATCTTTCTAGTGTGTAACCGGTTCCTGTGTGCACTTAGCTAGCTTTTCGTAATTTTTATTTTATTGGTATTTTGTTGTTTTTGTTTTTGTATAATAAAATATTAAAAAAAAAAATATTGAAAACCCCAAACAGGCCACATTTTCTGATTCGTAAATATAATTGTTATATATTGAAACGTCAAATATTTAAATTATATTTTCGAGAGTGTTGCCACCAGTTTCATTTAAATTCGAGACTTAATAATTTTAAACTATTTTATCTTTTATTGCAACGAGACTGTCATAATAAATAGTTTCAGAAGTTTTTAGTGATAAATTTTTGTATCAGTGTTGCCAAGTGTTCAAAACTTAAATTCTTTCAAAAAGTAAAGGAAATAAATTTAAGTAGTAGAAGAAAAATAGTTTGGAAAATAATTGGCTTCAGAAGATTTTAATGAAGAACATAATTTTTTCTAGTGTTGCCACTTGTTCAAATGTTAAATTCATTTGACAGTGGAAGAAAAGAAAATCAAGTAATTTTGGCTTTAAGGAGAGTGGTTTTAAAATCTAAATTATTAAACTATTTTTAAGTGGGTTTGGCAACTTAGTAAAAGTTAAAAATGGCACAGTTAATTGAAGGGCAATTTAAATATTAAAAAAATTAAATAAAAAAGAATCAAATAATAAACAAAAATGAGAAATAACAGCAGTGAGAATTTAAAGGCAACTTTAAATTCAACGAGCTGCTATATATATTTTTTTGTGGATCGCCAAATAAATGTTTAGAAAATAAGAATGCAAAGTTGCCACCTTTTTGTAATTTTAATTAGTCAAAATTGTCAGTCAAAAGAAATTATATGATAATAATATGTGCATCAAACTCATGACCCAATAACGTATAATGTTATAAATATTTTTGAAGAGGGTTGCCAACTGTGTAATTTTTATTTATTTATTAATTGATAAGAACAATAAAATATGGCAGTATGATTATCAAACTGAAGAAGAAGCGGGCTCCGCATGGATTTTTTTTGGAGATAGAAATTTTTTTGGATAGGGCTGCCAACATTTAAAAAAAATTTAATTACAAAAATGTAAATAAATTGTAATAAATTGAAATATTACAAAAAAAAAAATGAGACTTAATTTAGATTATAATTGGGTATCTAATTTAGCGAGGAATAATTCGATTTAAAAACAGTAAAAATGCAGATTTTTATTAAATTGACTGCTGCTTTTATTTTTGAATTTTCAAATATGTATATATATAAAATTAGAATCTTTATAGATATGCCAACTTATGGCTTAAACTCATTCCGAACTATTTCAATTTACTACTGGGTTATCATTTGTGCACCCCTCTGTATATAAGAGAGTTGAATTTGGGAATTTGCGTGAGTTGACTTAATTTGCGTTCACGCGGCGGTTTTCCTTTTATATTATTTTAATATCCCTAAATACTTAAACTCCTCATCACTGGCATCATTTAAAGTCCATTCCCTGCGTAGAGGGTGCTGTGGAAGGAATTTCGTTTCAAATGCTTGGAATAAATTTTAATGTTTATTGAGGCTTATGATTGACTTCAGTGATAGAAGGGAAGTGTAAATGGAAAGGGAACAGAATAACAGAACCTTACGGGTTCCCTAGAGACCTCTACTGAATGAAACATCATGTTTTGGAAGCTCTTATAACCTCAATGCTGATTATTTTATATCAGTGAGTGGGTGAAGATAGAGTGCGTAATCTCGAGCTCGGAGATCGGACTGTCCGATATTTAAGACCAATGAGCTTAAGATGACTGGAGTTGAAGTTTTTTGTTGTATACCCGAGACTCGGGTATTAACTACACATTAAAAGCGTCCGGTAAGGTAGGAACACCGCTTAAAGCGGACAGATCATATTTTTTGGTAAATGGTACCAATTTTGTCATATCGGAAGACTATAATTTTTTTTTGTGATTCCTCAAAACTGAAGTTCAGAGGGAGGACTTCTTTCTTTGGAGCTCAGAGGGAGGACTTCTTTCTTTGGAGTTCTGAGATAGTTTAAAGAATTTCTGATTCGGCATCCCGCGGAAAATTAATAAAAAATATCCTCTTTTAGTCTGTCTAGACTCAATCCTGGGAGGTTCATTATCGTCTAAATTTTGTTCTAAGTTAATCCTCTCTGCTCTCATCACTATTAGTGTCTTCTTTTAATTTATCAGTAATTTTAGTATATCCTCTTCAAGTGCTAATTTTTGTATCATCTCTTCACAGAACCGGTAAACTACACTATCCCACAGATGTCTGTGGACCACTATTCGAAGAGGAACTCGAGTTTTGGGGACTTGATTCGAACCAAGTAGAGCCGTGTTGCTGGTCTACCTACAGTATACATCGCGACACGCAGGTAAAACCCCAGCCAAATGAATTAAATCCTCTTTGAATTATGTTATTTAGTCACACCTCCATGCCTTTCTTAGAATACTTTAGCCATTTTAGATAAATTAGATATTGAAAATGAGAAACCCTCTGAGGAGCAAATTGCACGCCTATTCGGTTTCGAGGAAGCGCTCATTAATGGACGACTCAGTTGTTGGCAGCGCATTAAGCCGAAGGTGTGGGCGCTCTTTGATGAGCCATCCAGTTCGACGGGTGCCAAAGTGAGTTGAAAATGTCTTTTATTTATTTACTGTTTTTATTATTATTTTTATATTTTTAACTTTTTCACTTTCTTGCCCTTTTCTGCTTGCAGATCGTAGCTAGCATGTCTGTTTTCTTTATATTCGTTTCTGTGATATCGTTCTGCCTGAAAACCCATCCGGGTTTTCGTGTGGACTTTCCCGCCACTCACACCGATCACGGCCCATCAAGTCCGTCGGCTGTACCGCACACGCCACCCGTGAACATACCGAGTATACCTCATCAGCACAATATGCCACCGGTGCCGCCGAGCGCTCATATAGCGACCACAGTGACGGCGGCACCGGGTACACGCAGCGGCGCTGTGGGCAATATGTCACCACCGATGCATCATGGGAATGGCGGCTTCGGTGGTGTGAATGTTTCAAGTGCGAGCGGCATCAACTATACACTCGCGCACACCTTCAAAGTCACAAACTATACGACGCCGGGAAGTGTTGGGAATGTCAGTCAGCCAATAGCGACATTTTCGCTGAAGGGCAGCACAATCGGCAGCACCACGAGCCGCAATCGACTGAAACGTTCTATACGTAATGTGAAGGATTTGATTAAAGAGAAGTTGCTCGGTGGTGTCGATCATCATGGTCATGGTTGGCATGAGTCGTACGGTCAGCCGCATGAGGCTTTCTTCTATGTGGAGTTGGTGTGTAACGTCTGGTTCTTCATTGAGGTGCTCATACGGCTGATAGTAAGTGGCTGCGCTCTCTGTACCGTATTGCGCAGTGTATAAAATTCGTTAATCCTCGTTTCAGGTTTCACCGAATATTTGGCAGTTCATCAAATCACCGGTCAATATAATTGACTTCACCGCCACATTGAGTTTCTATACGGACGTCATGCAACGCATGGGCGAGTACACAGGTCTGTTGGAGGCCTTTTCAATAGTACGCATTATGCGGCTCTTCAAGTTGACACGCCACTCGCCCGGCCTGCGCATACTGATACATACATTTAAGGCCTCGGCGAAAGAGCTCACGCTGTTGGTGTTTTTCCTAGTGCTCGGCATCGTATTCTTTGCGAGTTTGGCCTACTACGCAGAGAAACTGCAGGTAGGCGTGTCCTAAGTTCGAATAGATTTTTCTAAAATAAGTATTGACCTCTGGCGCTTAAGCTTATTAATTCGATTTGTGTTTTCTCCGCTTCTCCTTTCAGGACAACCCAGAGAATCAGTTTAAAAGCATTCCGCTTGGCCTGTGGTGGGCTATAGTAACCATGACTACTGTCGGTTATGGTGATGTTGCACCTAAAACTTATCCGGGCATGTTTGTGGGCGCTCTGTGTGCACTCGCTGGCGTATTGACGATAGCGTTGCCGGTGCCGGTCATCGTTAGTAACTTTTCCATGTTCTACTCGCACACGCAGGTGAGATTTGGACCTTTTATTTTACCATTACACTTTTAGATTCCCTTTAACGGCGGAACTTGTTGTATGCGGTGGTATTCTGGTCTTGTTTGTAGTCTGCTTCATGGGAAGATCGTACGAAGAACATACGTTTCTGGTCTGTGTTACTGAGAAAACTTTGAGTCCCTCCATAGATCTGTCGCTTCGGTGATGTGATGATTCAGATGGTTTCTCTTGGAAATTGCTCAAATATTCTGGAAGCCTAAAAATGGGTGCCGGTGGAAACTTCATTCCAAAATATTCTCCCAACCGATACTCACGCCGACGTAGCCCTAACAAGGCTCAGCGTTCCCTCAATGCTCCGCATCGTTTGCTGTCTAGACTTAACCTTCCTACCAATGTCGATTCTGGGTGACTAATATAGCAGCTCCCTGCTTATATACGGATCAAATTGTCCAGTGATGTTTGAAACAGCGGTAATGGCTCGCCGCCTAAAAGGTCTTACCGATTCGGTCCAGTTTCAGTGTTATTCGGATGTAGGGGACAATGAAAAGTGGAACAGAAGAGTTCGTATTGGCGAGACGCTGGTTTTTCGGTCCTTCCAAATGTTGTCTGCAGTAGACGAGATCTTAAGACGCTTTAAAATCATAGAGATTTTCCAATGTATATCGCATCATCAGAATAATTTGGACAAGAAGGTTCGAAGTTGGACGAGAGTGTTACTAGCAGGAAGCAAAAGAGACTTTCGTATTGTTGCAGATGAATTTGAGGGGATACATACACCTGGAATATTATACCTACATAAACCGGGACGTAGTACTAGAACACGGGGATGCCCGTACTTCAGCCGACTAATACTTCAGAATTTTCACAATGCTCCCAGCTCCAGCCTTGAAGCTACATCACTTCACTTCACTTCTTCATATGCAACGAAGGAGCCGCTGCTCGCGGTCAGGCACTCAACCTCTCCTTCAAGCAACCCAACTACCAATCAAGTTTGGGCTTGCCAGAGCTTCACTAGTCCATTTTTATTACCTCCATAAGCTCGTCAGCCTACTACCGCTGCTACGATTCGCCGAATTTTTTAGCTCATTTCTTTCCATTACATTCAATTTACGGTTACTTTGAAATTGATAAATTCACATAAAATATGCACAAAGTGCCCAGAATGAATTTTCCTCGCACAAATTACCCGAACCACCCAAAATAGCTTTTTGATGCAAATAAAACCCTTTCATTGATTATGCCTTTGGCTTACATACACACACACACACATACATACATACATATCTACTCATATTTGTAAATTTAAATATTACCGTAAGTTTATCTTAACCTCCTCTTTTGCCTTGTTTGCTTTACCTCCCAGGCACGTTCGAAACTGCCAAAGAAACGTCGGCGTGTTTTGCCCGTGGAGCAGCCGCGACGCAAGCGCGAGCAGTGCCCGCCGACCCGTGGCCGTGCGAACGCCATCAAACAAGCCACTTCACTGCCACATGGCCATCACGGCGGGCACGGTGGCCATTTGTTGAGCGCCTCCGCGTTTCATGGCGGCCCACCAACGGCGGCGGCGGCAACAACAACAACACTATTCAAGGATCCCTTTGGCGGTGCCAAAATCGGTAAATTTAATTAAAATACACATTTTTCGATATCAATTTTTGTGTTTATTTATTTATTCGCCAACGCCAAACTTCCAGCCATATTTACCTACTTCCTTCATTGCTTTCCTGCTTCCTTCCTTATTTCCCATTCTGGCTTGCTTCGCTGCGCAAACAGTTTATTCTCAGTTAATCAGCGGATTTTATATACCGTCAATTTGTAACTGTTAAGCTGGTGTCGCTATGTTGAGCGAGAGTAGCGCGCTTAAAGCTTAAGTTTTTTTGTGCTTTGTTACTTTACCTGTCATTTAGTACCGTTAGGACAGCGCTGTGATTTGCTTGTGTGTGTTCGGCTTGGAAAAAAGTGCTCACGAAAGCAGCTAAACTTGTGAAGAGGAGTACATTCACACGTACATATATAGAAACCAGCTATACGAATATGTTTACATACCCATCAAACATACATACATGCATAGATTAACATACATTTCACCCACATACATATACATTTACATACTCGTATGCTTGTCGCACACGTATACAAAAGTTGCTTACTTTTCAGAGGGTTTTTCATTTGAATTGCTTAATTTGATCTTCACATGTATCCAAAACACATACATACATATATATATAAGAGCAATAATCTTATATAAACATATTCTTGTATGGGTATTGTGTGTTTAGATGTACAATTTTATCTTTTGATTTTTGTAATGTCAGTATGGTTGCCCCTATTATTTACATACATATATAAGAGCTATTGAACTGATGACCCTTAATACATATATGCGTATATATACATATACATATATATATATATATATAGTTACGAAAAAAGGTTAGGAATTTATTTTTATTTTTTGCTTTCAACTCACATTTTGGGTTAAGGTGTAAAGATATCTCTTCTTCTGGTGACATGAGGTGAAGGCAGGTCGTTTACTCCAGCTGAGGGCAGGTATTTCTCCCATATTCTCTTTTTTCATCCACAATTGCATGACCTGTTATGTAGACCGGCCCACCGTCAATACAGCAGCTGATATGCTAAGAGGCATTTTACGATAGGAGAATAATTCGAATAATTTTTTTCGAAGATGCAGAGACGAAGAGAAAGGAAGACTGTGTCGATCACTACCTCCGACACTGTCCAGAGGTATCTAGGCTATCATTACTTTGATTGCTTGGCTGGCTGACGCCTGGTGTAGGCAGTATCGCATTGGGTCCATAAGGCACACGAATTGGTTTATAATTCCGAGAAGTTTATCGGAGATACCAAATTAAGGCATATGGGACTAAGTGCAGCTCCACTTCCGGTTATTGAAGTCTGTTTTATATTGATGCGGAGGTGGAGGTATGTGCCAATCATCCATTTGTGTAATTGTTTTTGAGGCATGCAATTGCTATCCGCCTTTCATTAGAGTCAGGCTCTGGAATTTCTACACGATTGCCACCGCATGGGACTAGGCTTCTAAATGGGCTTCACTATAATTCGGCATACTGGAGAAATGGTACCGACAATGCTACCACCGAGTATACGAGTTCAAGCTGATTTTATTTATTTTTATTTTAACGGACGAATTCGCGGAAATGTCTGGAAAAAATTAAAACTGGTAATAAACAGTAGTGAAGATTATGGTACATATTTTGAAAACACAATAATAATACAAAATATGTGGGAAAAAGAGGCCTAAATGTAACTTCATCCCACATAGGGTTGCCAAATATCATTCCTGATCAATTTTTATGGTTTTCCTAGGACTGCTCCAAACATACCAAAATTTGAAGGCTCAAGAGCTGACCACATATGGATATCTCAAGCCGGGTTATTGGCTGATTTTAACAAGCCGGAGCCAGAAGTAGTTTATTGTTAAGAGGTGAAGACCTCTCACAGCTCAACATGATTGAGTTCGATTTCGTAAAAGGTGTACGACTTCAAATAGATATCATAGCCATGAAAGCACGGCTCCATCACTAACACCTTCCTTGGAGATATTTTAAATTGGGTTTATCGACTCTATATATATGTTTTTAATTAATATTTTTTATATCATATATATATATATGGCTTTTAGTCGCTGTTCATTATATACTTGACTAGCTGTACAAATTTGTCTAGAGTAAAGGTGTGTGTGTATGTGCGTGTGTTCCAAAGCTGTAAACTAACAACATTATTATTTATGCTTTTATATATTTATACATTGTTGTTGTTGTTTCCATATTCATATATTTATATATATTATATATATTGTATATTGTTGTATATTAGCATAAGTATATTATTGTATCTGCTCGCCTTGTGCCTTTGTATTACTTATGTATGTATAAGTGTATATGCTTGAATTGTGCAGGCAGCATGCATGGCGTTAATGTGATAGGCCTCAACATGCCGGGGCAACAAGTGCCTTTGACCGCCGTTACGGCTGGCACCACATGCGGTGCTGCGAGGATGCCCTCACCGCTACCAAATCATCCGTCAGGTTCAACGGCGGCAACCACGCAGACATCGCTAATGCTAACCAGCGGTGGGCCAGCGGTCATAAGCTGTAAGTGTATTTTTTAAATGTGTGTAAATGTAGTTGTAAATAGTTGTATTTGCCATAGTTGTTGTTTGAGTAACTAATAACAAATATATGTATTTATCACAGTTATATTAATTTCAACATAACAATTATTCGTTTGTCAAAAATAATAATTAATAAAATAACACAAAATAAAATAAAATAAAAAAAAAAAAAAAATAAAATAAAATAAAATAAAATAAAATAAAATAAAATAAAATAAAATAAAATAAAATAAAATAAAATAAAATAAAATAAAATAAAATAAAATAAAATAAAATAAAATAAAATAAAATAAAATAAAATAAAATAAAATAAAATAAAATAAAATAAAATAAAATAAAATAAAATAAAATAAAATAAAATAAANCAAATCAAATCAAATCAAATCAAATCAAATCAAATCAAATCAAATCAAATCAAATCAAATCAAATCAAATCAAATCAAATCAAATCAAATCAAATCAAATAAGATAAAATTAAATTAAATTAAATTAAATAAAATAAAAACTAAAAAATTTAATTGAAACAATGCATTTTTTGTTGCTTAACATTTCGTTGTATGCCTTTTCCTTACATCAATAGCATGCGAAGTCATAGAAAGAGGAAGAGAGCAGAAGAAGAAGTTAATTTTAAGTTTGCTTTACTGTAATTTATTTTAACTTTCTTAACTTCAGTCTTCATAACTTTCCAAAATGACTTTTGTCAATGGACAAAAAGTTATTAATTTTTTGATTTTTCTTTTTTTGCGCTTTCAAAAAGTTGTTCGTCAATATTTTGTAAAGCTTGACTATAACTGCGTATATTTGCACTCTTATGTATATAATGTATATAAAATATATTAAAATATAAGATTCGCATGCTCATTCGTTCAGTCAACAACTACTTTTACTGTGATCCGCCTCGCTCTCTCTCATACATTCATATACATACATATTTGGCTATTTTATTCTACTCTCATTCGCTGATGCAACCGTGTGCTTGCAGTGTTGCTCTTTTTTTTACCGAAACTATATGGTGTCTTCTTCTTCTTTTAACGTGCTGTGCGCTTCTGCTGCTGTTTGCTTTTTGTTGGGAAAGTTTAAAATTTACTTTTGGTTAATTACACAGCTCAATTTAAAGTTTTAAGCGCAATGAGCAGTCAGACTGTAATATTCTTACATTTATGGTGAGTTGTTTTTGATGTGTTTGTGCGTCAAAATATTTATAAATAAATTTTAATGACTTACTCTTAGTTTGTAGTGATTTCAAAGAGTGAACGCACTGTTTGACTCGGGTATTATAATTTTGTAGTTTGAAAAAACCAATTATAAGGTAAGAAAGAAATTTAGTTTGTTTAAAAAATGTCTTTCATGCCATGGTTTGGTTGTAACTGACAGGATAGGTTAGGTTATGGTGGCTTCCGATCTATCGTGCTTACTTCTCTTCATGATTCTTAATGCTTCAGCACCATTTTCTACAGGGAGCTCTAGTCTCTCTGCCTGTCATGCTATCAGACATAATTTGGACATGCCGTCTCTTTATAAGATGTGTACTCCATCTCGTGATCTTATCTCATGCCATTTTAGTTCGGTGTGTTTCGATTGGAGGCAAGTTGTGGTTTCGTTCCACCTTGACGTGGCTCTGTAAGTTTTACCAAAAAGTGGAGAGTGGCAGTCTGTTCCTGGTAAATGTGACATCACAAAGGGTCAGCCATCCAAAAGCTTACCTAAACTCATTGATAGCAGATATATCCAGTTGGGAAACATTACATTTTTCAGGTAGCTTGATGTGAGCTCTATCATTCAGAGTCGTGTGCAGGCGCTACAACCCCTTCTGACCATTAGTGCAAATATTTAAGTATTAAGCTTTGCTTTGCGGAATTAAATCTAGACACAAAAATCACTTAAGCGAGGTTGCACTTGAATTTAGCTCTGCCTTACTCGTTTTCAATTTATTTTACGCCAATTTTGCCAGCTTTGCTTCTTGCCTTTTCACTAATAAACGCCGAAAAAGTCGCTGGTCGATTTTGGTATTTTTTTTGGTAAAAACTTATTAACTCATTAAAGTAAAAACCGGCTAACAACGTTTGTTTGTATGTAAGCGCCCGTGCTGGAGTGTATATAACAGCCATTGCTGACTTATAGTTGCGAAGCGACGACAGAAGTTGGGTCGTGTTAGCGCTTATTAGTCGCAATAAGAACTGAAAATGTGTACCCAAAGTGAGCCGACGAGCGAGTATACAAAGTCTATGCTCATAAATACGGTTTTCAATTTCACCAAAACAGCAGCAGCAACAATAACAACAACATCAGCTATGTATAATGGTAATCTGCGTTAAATGGAAAAACTTTTTCAATTTCAACGCAAAAGTCTCGAAAATACAAAATGAGTACACCATAAAGCACTGCAACCAAGGCGGACAGGCTAAGAGCCAAGCAGGCAAAGCCGTCGGCAAAATATTGCTTGATGACCAGTTGTTTGTGCTGCAATGACTGGAACGAGCAGCAACTGTGCGCCGGCTTTGGTAGTTGCATAAAATTTTATGCATTTCAATTAAAACAAATTTGTGTTAAAGTGTGGCGAAGTGTGGTGGAGTGGTGTGGGGTGGGGTTGTTGTGCGCCTGCGGGGACGTGGTCGACAAGCACCGTAAGCAAATAATGCAACGCTTGTCACTAGCACACACACACACACATACACATTTAACTCAACATATTTGCATGCCTGCAGAATTTTCGCACGCCAATTACAACTGTTTTTGGAAATATGTTTTCGCTTTTGGTGTTGCCGTTAAAATTTTAATGCTCACCAAATGACTCTCGGACAAACATTTAAAACTTTTTTTTATTAAATTAAAAGGTAAAACGTTGCAAAAAACTATAGTAAAATACATTGGAAGAGAGCAACAAAATGTGCATTCACTCCGCCTGAGGCGTAGCGGCTCGCCTTAAAGTGTGCAATGATATATGAATAAAAAAAAAATAAAAAAATAAAAAATAAAGAAAAATCTAAACGACGAGCGAAAATCTCTTGAATGAAAGGTTTTATTACTGTTACTTATTTTTTTTTTTAATTTTTTAAACTAATTTTGTTTTTTTTTATTTTCCATTTTGTGTTTTTACTATATTTTGGTAATTTTAACTTCTTATTTTTCTTAATTTAATTTTTATTTTTAATATTTCAGTCATTTTCATATCTTTTTTTATTACTTTTGTTATTTTTTTCTTTTTTAATTTTTATCATTTTTGTTATTATTATTTTTTTGTTTTATTTTTCATTTTCTTTATTACTTTTGCCTTTTGTTTCTTCAATTCCTTATTTTTATTATTTTTATATGTTGATTAAATATATATTTTTTTGTTATTTTTGTTTTTTTAATTTATAACTTTTACATATAAAATTTACTTTTGATGTAATTATTATTATTGTAGTTTTATTAATACTATTGTTTTTGTTATTTAGTATTTGTATTTTTATTAATTGTATTTATTTTATATACTTTATTTTTTTTTTTTTATTTTTTTATATTTTGATTTAATATGTTTAGCATTATTTTCATTATTTTAGTAACTATCATATTTTAATATTACTTATAATCGAAAATTGTTTGCCGGCTGGAGGTCAATAAAAACACAATATTAGTTTGTTATTGTTCTGATATATTTCGGCTACTCTTCGGTAACCATCTTCAGGGTAAATTGAATAACACGTGGAGTTTTGTTCAACTTGGAACAATAACATGCTAATGTTGTGTTTTTATTGTCCTCAAGCTGGCAAACAAGTTTCAATTTAAAAAAAAGGATGCCAAATGCCATTAAAATTTATTCAAAATAATCCTTATCTTGACTTTCAATTTTTATCCTATACATTTTGTTATTTTTAATTTTCTATTTTTTATTCTTTTTATAGTTATAATTTTTTAATTCCGTTTTTGAGTTTATTACTATTTTATAATTTTTATTTTCTTATACTTTTTTATGTATATTTTTTCTTTTTTAATTTTATTATATTTTCATCAGTTTTATTTTCTTAATTTTTTGTATTTTCATTTTTCTTATTCTTATTTTTATTTTTTAATTTTTATTTTTTTTTAATATTTTGGACGTTTTCATATTTTGATCTTTTTATTTTTACTTTTTTTATTTTCGGTAATTTTAATGTTTTTTGTTATTATAATTTTTTTATTATTTTATATATATATATATTTTTTTTTAATTTTCTTATATTCATTTTTTTATATTTATTAGATTTCTTTTACTTTAATATCTCCTTATTGCGACTCTGTTGCATTCCTCTTGTTCTCATCAAAAAAGAACAGCTGGCGACCATCAGCTCCTTCGTGCATTTGCTCACTTAGTGACCAGCCGCAGTGACTTCACATTTATGTTGTTGTTGTTACTGCGTAAAGTGTATTTGTAAGTTTCCTCGTGCCAATGAAAAGTTTTTGTTGCGTTGTCACCGTTGACATTTGCCAATTATTTTCAACACTTGAAACTGTGCACAGTCACTCACAATCTCTCTCTTTTGACTCGTACTTCATGCTCTCAATTTGTGCTGTTGGCAAAATTCATTTGCTTGAGTGTGATGTTTGACAATAACAAATAGTTGCGAGAATTTTAGTTCTTGGGGTAACATTTTTTGCATGGGAAGAAGGCTTTCCTGTCTGCATGACTTTCTGTTCTATACTCCAACAGACAATGGCTCGGCGTTATGCCAATCATCTTTGAAAGTTCTCAGACATGCAATTTTTGGTGGCTAACAACTCGGCCAAGTTTGCTCCGATTTGCGACAGGACGATTTTTATTCCATGTAGTAGCTGTTCGGTCATGGTTTGGCTAGCAAGCAAGTTTACTATGGAGTTCTTCCCGATATCACCATGCACAGGGCTTAATATTAGGACTAGCATCAAGCATCTTCTGCAGGAATCCGCAATTGAGAGCTGCACCGGGTAAATATTTCAAAAACTGATAGCCTCAACAAGAGTTTCATATGTGGGTTTCGTGAGATGACCGCAATCCTCAATGTGTCAAATCTCAATAGCTACGCTACAGCCGGGCCTTCTTACCGGAACGACCGAAATTATATACAACCACGGACTGTCATTCTCCGAAAAACAAGTTCTACGAATATTTTAACGGTTACCACAACAACAACATCATCAACAGCAACAACAAGTACCCTTCATTCCATGTGCTATAAGTGTATTTACCACCTTTCTTAGAATGTCTCAGCAAAAGCTCACTTCCGGCAAACAACTTTCTTGCTCTTGGCGATCTCTGCACTCGCACTCTGACGCGACATGTCCGTCAGTCATTTCATGCTCTGACAAATAAGACTTCCAACTGCGAGCGTAAGGCCGGCGGCATATTCCTGCTCGTCACGTGATTAATTTTTCTACAAATGATTGTGCAGTATAACAAAGAAATATTTTTGCTGTTGTGTAAATAAGAAGAAGAATGGAAGGAAGGTAAAAGAGGAAAATGATATAAAATGAATAGAGTGAAAACAGCAGAAAATTTCAAAAAATTCGAATACAGCAGTGAGCACATACCCAATGATTTCTCGACTACCTGCCCGGCTGCAGCATCTCACTTTGATGTCCGCACATCCAGTTGATGGCTTAATTAGTTTCTCATTCTCTTTTAGCTGAATTTTTTCTTTTTACTCATTTTGTTCGCTATAAAATGGCAGTAACTGCTCTTATTTTTTTTTTTTTTACTTTTATTTTTATTTTTATTTTTATTTTTATTTTTATTTTTATTTTTATTTTTATTTTTATTTTATTTGTTTATTTTGCTTTAATTTCATTATTCCTTTCTTTGTGCTTTGTACGTGGCTTTTCATGCCAAACTTGCTGTCTCGTTTGCATTCTTGCATAGTTTTACTAATTTCCCCAATGTTTGTTTACTTATGTGCACTACTGTTTACCTACGTTTTGTTTTTATTTAGTTTTTCCGACATCCTCTTTTCTCTCTTCCTCGACTCTGTCGACATGACTTGCCTCATTAATATTATTTATTTACATTGTTGGAATCTTTTTATTCTTTTCCTCATTTTTATTTTTATTTATTTATTTGTTTTTTAGTTTTTTAATTATCCCCTTTCTACTTCGTGCTTCGTAAAGAGAGTGAGAGGAGATATATTTTGTGTTCCGTGGAAATAATTTCGTTCGAACCCTGGATGCTTTCGGTTATCCGTACGACACGAACTTGTTGGCGCTTTCTCTTGCTCATCCTGCCATTGGTTCGGTTAGGTCATCTTCTACGGTTCTACATCACACCGCATTGCAGCCAGGAGCGACTTGTAGAGTTTGGTCTTGAAATTACAAATTTTCAATCAGCTTATGAGAGAATCTACGTTAGATTGTAAAACTCAAATTTGTTTTAGCTTGATGCTTGTTCCTGGATGGGAGAAATTATGTAAAACTTCAATGTTTTGACCGCCGATAATACCACAAAGTTAAGAAGCGAGGGCGCTTTCTATTTGCTTGATGACAGGAAATGGTGTTGTAGTAACCGAAAAATGTTCCCCGAATTGGTTTTCGGGGAATACTGTGAGGGTGACAGTCCTGGGGAGGATAAAAATCTGGGTCGCTCCGGTATAGAGACCCCACTGTAGGGGTAACTATTAAATCTCAGTCGCCTCTTACGACGGGCATGGCTCACCATGGGTAAATTCTTGAGCCGCTAACCCGTAGAGTATAATGACAGATTTGTAGCCAAGCTTTTAGCACCAGCTTATTGAAAATGCCTTATGTCGATGCCTACACAGTTCGATGTCAAAGTAGAAGCGATTTTATCATCTGCAGATGTATCAGCACCATCACTGCTCGGTTGCATACTTGACGTTGCCCGCACTACTTGGCTCAGTCTTATGATATTTTGTTGGTATGATTTGATTGCCGTTGGGATGCCCTTTCTAACGGAAAGGAAAACGACGACTGTCTTTCCATTTGTCTTTTTTCGGGTCGACTTCTTTCAAGGCAGAATAACTCCCAATAAAACCCAAAGTCGTCTGCTTAACAGCTGAAATTTTGTCTTTAAAAACGGCAAAAGTCCAAGACCAACGCATGCATCGAGCCTAGATTCTGCTGTACAGATTACAGTACTATAGATTGATAAACAAGGTAGAGCAGTATCTCTCCGCGCTGTTTGGTCTGAAAGTTGACTTATCGAAGATTTTCGTGTGCTTTAATTTGACTCTCTTAGAGCGGCTGGTGTTGCTGTCTGCTATCATAAAAGTCCCATTGCTTGTGTTTGAGCATTTTGAAAAGGGGTCGTGGATTTGAACGTGGTTTTTGGGGTTGCCATTCAAATTTTTGTTCATTAAAAAATCATTTCTCTTCTAAATGTTGGCCTTAAGCAGAATTGGGAATTTTGCGAAATGAATTTTTGAGAATTTTTCTGTACGCTCAGTGGATGGTGAGTAGAATCTTAAGAGGTGCCCCTGAAAGTGAGTAAAAAATATAATATTATATTAATTTAAATTTTATGGCCCATTAGTGGTGTCCGCTGGCTCTCTCAACCAACCAACCAAACTTGCCTTTTATTAGAGTTTGTATGGCTTACTCTTCAGCTTGGCCAGAGAAAGAACCCATATGGTTTTTAAACAGGTAAGTTCTTGTGGAAAAATACGTATGACTGCTGGTACCCGGCTTGTGAGTAAGTAAAAATGTTTGCTATGAAGCTTTTTTGAAAATTTCTTTTTTGCACCTAATTATTAACCTTTTTTCTATTCTTCAGACACTTTTTTGAGGTCAAGTGACACTAAACTTATTTTCTATTAACTTGAAATCCGCTTGAAATGCCAAAAATAATTAAAAAAATAATATATATATTTAAATTTTCACAAATTAATTTTATGTATTTCATTTCACACTTGTCTCGTCTCTTATGCTATTCCTCTCTCTCTCTCCCTCTATCTCTGCCTCTCTTAGCCGACTACTTGAGCGTGCCGCCTATACAAAGTTTACAGCCGCGTGCTGCCACAACGGGTCATGACTTTATGCTGCCATTGCAACCTAAGTTGTTAGCGCCATTAGGTAAGGTCACTCGCATTTATACATACAAATATACATAGTTAAGCAGACATAATTTATAGTTGTTGCAGTGGAGTGACTGCCAACACTTAGCTTTGTTCATTCAACTTTATTCTCACACTAATTTCCCCTCGTTTTCTCTCTCTCTCTCTTCTTTTACAGAATGCAAAGACCATCACCAACTACAACTTGCACCCCAACATTTACCCGGCGCCGATGGCAATCACAACGGTGTTCAATTACCACATCAGTATACACAAGCGCCCTACCACATAACGGGCGCGCATCACTGCACTGGCGCCGTGGGCGGTGGCAGCACCGACAACATCAGCGGCAGCCACTCGGGCAGTCGTTCAGCGTTGAATGTGCCACCCACAATCAGCGTGGCCTCGGCACAAATGCCACCCGGTGTACGCACACCCAATCTCAGTGCACGCGCCGCACAAATATTGGCCGCACAGCAAATGCGTGAAGCTGCCTCGGCTGCCGCCACCAATGCAGCTGCTGCTGCTGCTGCTGGTCACCATACAAGTGGCTGTAATATAACGATTGCGGTCAATGATGGCAGCAATAATGGTGGTGCGGCGCTGCCGCTGGACAAGGAGAGCGCGGCACAGCAACATTATCATCAGCAAACACAATGTTCACCGCAATGCGTACAAAGTCCGCAAAAGCAATATCAACAGCAGCAGCAGCAGCAACAACAACAACAGCAACAACACTACCAACAGCAACATCAACAGCAACATCATCACCGTACACCGCCGAAGGTGACGCTGCTGGACGACGGTTGCAGCAGCGATTACGCCAATGCGACGGATGAGGGTGAGGAAGACTACGAGAGCCGTAATGGCAGTGTTAATGAGTACACAAATGGCGGTGATATAGATGCTGGTGCTGGCGGTGGTGGTGGTGGTGGTCGCAGCGGTGGTGGCGGCGGCGGCATTCGTATTTACGGCACCGATTTGCGCTGATTGCGGGATATCGGTTGGAAATTTCCACTTTAAATGTACACGTATGTGTATGTGCGGAAGAGTGGAAAGATAGATAAGTGTGTATGTATGTAGGAGTGTGTTTCCTGTAAATTGTGAAAGTGTGAATTTGTGCGGTCAAATGGCTGGAAAGGATGCAAGATAACGGTATAATGAGTTTCAATGGGCATTCATTAACATCAAATACTCGTAAACTAGAGGCCGTAGTGACGTAAGTTTCTGTTCAGTTGGTAGTCAAAGTATTTATGTATGTATTATATAATATCAAATTTGAAGATCTTTAAATGACTAAAATTATATTTATATTTGCGTAGTCTAAGAGAGAGTATAAGAGCAAGAAAATTTGAAAATTAATGTAAAATATTAGTAAAACATATTAATTTGTAGGCCGATGTGGAGGAGGCTAAAATTTACGTTACGTAGTACTTACAATGAAGCTTGAGAGCTGCAGCGCGTAGGGAAGAGAGAGAGAGAGAGAAACAGAGAGTTGATAAAATGGTGTAGATATTTCTACTAATGGTATTCTGAGTGTCTCAATAGAAGGCAGCTATATTTTATGATATTCCTCTTCTTCTTATTTTCCTCACTTGAAACAAAATCTAAAGAAAGTTGACCCTTTGAATGATAGACCAATGAATGAATGTTTTGCACACAAGTCTCACTCTAACCTTTTTCCCTCCTTCTTCATTACATTCACATAGTGGGAGAAGAATCGATCGGCATAACAGTTTCCTTTTCAAAGCATGTAAGCAATTATAAGCTTTTGAAAGCGATTAAAGAGACACTTAAAAGTAAAAGGAAAAGGAAAACACTTGAAGATTGTATTTAGTGCCAACTGCCAAGAAAGTAGGTTATGCTGGAGTTAAGTTAGGTTAGGTATAGGTTGGAAGGTCTATCGATCTAATTAATCGATTACAGTTAGACTCGAATAAGACTCATTGTGATGCTAAAAAAACCTGTACATTGAGTCTTCGTTAACCAAGCATTTCCATTTTCTAGTGAACCTCATTAGATCCATGACTTTAACGTTGACGATCTTCGTTAGGCCGGTCTAGAAATAAGAACCAAAATTACCGAAATCTAGTACTGCCCAAACCAGGATAGTGGCATAGAAGCTGGGTGATCGTTTTCTTCTCCTCACTATAACCGCAGCTTCTGCAGCATCTTCTACAGGTAGCCAACGTCTGGACTTCTATAACTTTGGACTCGACCCGTCTTTATACGGAGTACATATTTCGTGAGCTTTTCTGATCTCATTTTAGCCAGGTGTGCCTGGATTTGCATCAGGTTTCTACTCCTAATAAAATAATGGAGTAAATGGTTAATTTAAGTAAATGAAATATATAAAAATCACTTTTCACAGAGCTGGAACAATTTCGATTGCTTTATATATAAAGCCTGAGAACTGGATGTAAGATACTTTTAACTCCGATAAGTGGACCAGAGACTGACCTTTCGATTCACTTGTAATTCGGTACATAGTTGTCTTCTGGCTTACATTAGCATTCGCTGGAAGTGAACCAGAGACGAAGCTGTTCGAAAAACTCGTAATTGCCGATCTTTTTGCCTTTGACAGTTGTTTTCAGAAAGATGGACCGATCTATTTAAAATTAATATGCATTTTCATAGTTCAATTTGGTTATATATTCGGATGAAATGCCTAAGTGGAATTCTTTTGTTCCCCGGAAATGAACTTGTGGTGAGGATCCAAGTTCAGTTTGCTCGACACATAAATAATACTTTTTTAGGGAAATAAGTCACTAAGAGATTTGCAAAAATTAGTATGAGCTGAGATCCAGTCCAGGTATGCTTGGTACTCGATGTTATTATTCTGCTGCTACGGGTTGTGGGTCATTCTTATTCATTTAATTTTTATAAAAAACTTAGTAATTTGTTTTAGGAGAAGACTTCTTACCATTCTTGTGGAACAGAAATTAAATAAAATATAGAAAACCACAACAGCAACGTGTGGGTGGGTTTATTAGTAAAATAAATTAATATAAAAATATTATAAAATATAGTCAATTCAATAAGGAATCTTAGAAAAATCTTCAATTCGTCTATTTCGGCAGCAAAAATTTCAGAAGAGAGCAAGGAAAATCGTATGAATCAGTTACACTTTAGCGTTTTGCGAAAATCCCCCTAAATGTGTGCATACATGTTTGTATGTATTCAGCATCCGTTTGACACATTCATTAAAAGTTTTGTTGAATTCTTGATTTTATTTGTTAAAAGATTTTGCAAAACTCAGAATCTAAAACAAAATTACATTTCTGACACACATTTTCTGTTTTGAGCGCTCAAGACACTAGCCTTTTGTACACATACATACATACATATGTACCATTGTGAAATTGTTGCAAATAAATTTTACGTTACTTTTTCGCAAATCGTCATGAGCAAAAGCGCAAACTGAGTTGACTTTGAGGTTATAAACACACACACACACACTTACATGATTAATAGCCGTTAAACTACCGACTTTTATTACGCACCTCACTCCAGCAGCTCACTCCAGCAGCAACAAACAAAACCGAAATTTAAATAAACAAACTCTCAGTCAAGTGAGTTTCGAGTTTAAGTGCTGTGAAATGCAAACTCTTGAGAGGCGGAGGCAGTGCACGGCACACACTCCAGTCGCTCGAGTGAACCGATAAGTAGGCAGACAATAAAAACAAACGAATCAACAAATGTACATATGAATGAAAATACGAGCGTGTGTGTGAATCCCCCTGGCAGTCGAAGAAGGAAAATAAAAAGCTCACTTTTCTGTACGGAAATCAAAAAAGAGAGAACGAAAAATTAAATAAAAATCTCTAACGACAAATAAAACTATGTAAATGAAATCTAAAAAAAAAAAATATCAACACTGAATTACACAAAGTTTTTTGCTTCGTTAGTTGGGAATCACAGCCAGTTGTTGGTGTGAATTTCATGATATTAAACTTCAGTTCGGCTTTGTGGAAGCCTTTATTTGTTGTACAAAATAAAACTACAACAATAACTGCCAACAGCCGTTAGTCAAACTTTGTTTTTGACACATGCATACATTCTTACACAAACAACAAGCAAACTGTCAAACTCACAAGGGGCTGACGCTCTCTAGGCTGGCGACGTGAGAGAACGTGAGTAGGGTGACCAGCTTCAGATCTTTCAAAATTATTAAAACAAAATCTTTATATATTAAATTCTTAGTACTAAGTGGTTGACGCATCAAACCACAGTGTAAACAACTGACTGTAGAGAACTGAAACTTGGAGGGAGTGTTTTGCGTGACATCAATGAATTTTTCGGGCGAAGAACCTGGAACCAATTTAGTAACATGAAATCTCGATTAGAATGAATTTCACGAAAAATTAGCCTGGTTCCGTTATAATCAAGTAGTATGCAGTTCAGGAGGTTATTGATGCCTCCGCACTAAGGACTGCGCCGTGGCAGCGGTATTTCTTCACCGATTTTTCCTTATTTATGTTCCCGCAGCTGTGGCCAAAAAACTATTAGAGATGCGACTCATCTTTTCACCATTAGTCGCCATCATACATCATAGCTGCTGGCACTGAGATTTTTCTTTTATCAAAAAATGTCTAAATCAAAAGTTGGTGGCGTCCTGTAGTGTCAGAGAGTATGAACGTATATCTAAATATTTGACTTTCAGAGAGTACAAATAACAGACATTTGAAAACTCTAAGAATGTACGGAGGAAAATCTTAAACGTGGAAGACAAAGAGTCGGAAGGATGATGTAGTGTCGAATGGTTCGATGAAATGACAAAGATAAAACAGTCGAATAACTTGTTGACAGTAGAAGAGTCCAGCGATATGATTTTGATATGAGAACGGAAAGGCAACACAACGGTGGAAGACACTAAAAACATCACGATGGTCCAAGTACTTCTTTTGTTCTGGTATATATATGCTCTCAGCATTCGATGAGACTGTACTAAGAGTGAAAGAGCGGAAAGTTTAATAAGAGCTTCGTAGTGACTCGGTCTCCTCAAGATGGTTTTTATCTCAGAAGAATGAACAAAGAGTTATTCAAGATATACGTGTACGACGATATAGAAATAAGTCAGCTTTGCTGATGGGATCACGCCGAACCGAAAGGAAATACTTACGAAGAAAATCTTCAGTTAGTTGAACTGGAGTGCTTTTCTTGACCCTAAACGCGTAGGGCGAGCCTAAATCCACTAAGAAAAAGAAGACAAAAGTCCCTTTAACTTTCTCAAATGTTTCAGGCTTCCTTGAGGTATTCCACTAGTCCCTCCTTCTGAAACGAAGAAATTTGGTGGAAAATATTGAGGCTTGTGTAATGTAGTGTAGATTCTCATCGAATCTGTTTCCTAAGAACTCCTAAAGGTTTTTCGTCCTTCTGCAATCAATGACCTTAAACCCTCCGAAATTTTGTTGCTGCTGGTCTCCCCTATGTGGAACGCACACATGGCTTTAGTTCACAAAAGTTGTTGAACGCAAGCATGCGAGTGGGAAAGAGCAGAAGCAACCACTCTCAGGCAGTCGGCAGCGCAAATATTTTCCGGGTAAATAGAAAGAAAGTTCAGCTTTGTGTTGTCGCCGTCGCGATTGCTATTGCCCATTGTATTTTCCTCGACTGCTGTTACTAACACGACCACTATTGTTGTTGTTGTTGTCATTGACGCTGTCATGAGTGGCACAGTTTTTTCACCGCCTCAGTTGGTACTACGGTTGTTACTGCTTCCGGCGACGTGTTGCCTGGAGCGTTTTATGCTTTTACTGTCGCTTTATTTTCAACTCTTTCGTTCGCCTCCGTTCTCCGTCTCTGCCTCCGCCTCTGCGTGCGCATGGATACGCAGAGCTAGAGTCGCTTGCCATTTTTGTTGTTTTGATTACCCACACACGAGTGTTGCTTTTGTTTGCTTTTGTTGTTATTGTTGAGTGCACTTCAGTCGCTGCTGCTGCTGCCAACCAACTGTCGGCTCAGCCCACATCGCTCGAGGCAGCATTGCCTTCGCATACATACATACATACATTTTTGATGGTTTATTCAAAAACATTCCGCTTTTGGTGTCACTCACATTGGTTG